AAATAAAAGCAATAGAACCTCCAGAGAGTAGCGAAAGTGGAAATTTAAACCGATATGCTAATCGACATTCCTTCCTTTTATTTTTACTCCATTAAGTGTTGGTCCAAGGTCTATCAAAAGTATATATTGTAAGCTACGCTGATAACAAAGTTGTTGTAAGCAGGTACACATCAACTGTAACACTAGTCATACTTGTCAATTAATATGCTATATACGAAAGTATTCCTATTTAGCACTCATTTCTTTTGTCACGGTCAAAGCACTTTGCATCCTGCCTTTACAACATGCCTTGAGTAACGCATCATATTTATACGTGTCAAGCTCCGAATCCTCATTTTTCACTTTTGCAAAATATTCACAAGTTATTCCAATATTACCGGGAGATGCCTACCCATGCATAATGGTTGTATATCTGACTCACATCGACTAGTGCTTGCAGGTAACATATCGTCAAAATATTGTACAGCCTTCTCAATCTGTATCAAGTTAAAGATAAAGTGAACAAATGAAGAGCTAGAGAAAACAATTGCATCAAATAACGCATATGTTAGCACCAGAAACTGAGACATCATTTTGTTCATCATTTATCCACTTAAAAAAGCATCGAGAGCATGAGAGAGATGAACAATAGAAGGAGAAATACAAGAACAAGTTAAGAAAGCAAAGGTAACTTGCATGTTACCTCTCAGGAGTAGCTACATTTACTATGTGATGACTCTGAAGTGATTTCTTGAAAGGAAAATTCCCCTTTAACTGAATAGCCTGCAGGCATGGAAATGAAATATCTTTATTCAAGCAACAGCATATCAAGGTGTATATGAAGATCTCCATTATTTTTTTAAAAAAGGAATCCATTTTAAAAAGGTGCACATGAAGAATCACAAAAGTAGGAATTTCTTACTTTATTTATTGTCAGTTCTATCAAGTCCCTCTAGCATCAATGAATATGTATAAGCACTGAGCCGAAAACGATTTTTCTCCATGATATCTAACAACTCCAAACATCTATCTACAAGTCCTCTCTTAAGTAAGCCATCAATTAGAAGTTTCCAAGCTACTTCATCATTATTGTACCCGCAACCAAGAAGCCTAAAGAAGGTCGTCTTAGTATTCTCATTGTTTCTGTCATCATACAACCCACACACAAGGAGCTTGTATGACTCTAAGTGTGGTAAAAAACCTTGTGTAAGCATAGTGTCAAGAAACCTTGCTGCATCCTCATACATTTTCAACTTGCAACAATAATTTACCATTGAGGTATATATATCTTCACCAGGAGATATTCCACAACTCTGCATATGATCAAGTAACCTCAAAGCTTCCTCAAGGTGTCCTTCTCTACAGAGTCCAGTAGTAAGCGAAGTAAAAATGCTTGTGTTTAGAGGACAGCGATGTTCCACCATTTTATCAAAGAGTTCAAGCAAAGTTTCATATTTCACCACTTTCCACACGTCAGCAATATTAATGAAACTAGCCTCAGTTTTGAGATCAACTCCTCCTTGTGACAAATGTTTGATCAAAATAGAATAAGTGTACTGAGAAGGTTCATGACCAGCATCGACCATAAATTTTAGCACATCAAAGGCCCGATTCAATAATCCTGCACGACCATAGCCATCAATCATTACTGTATAGGCCATCACATCTGGCATAACTCTTGCCTCTGCCATCTTATCTATTACATCATCTGCTTCTTTCAATTTCTCTTCATTGTAATATGCAACCAGAAACGAAGTGTAAATGCATACATCAGGTTTGTGTCCCATGGAAACCATTAAATGAAAAACCTTATAAGCTTGGCCAAAGGCAGATTCTTTTAGTAGTTGCTCAATCAAGATACTGTAGGATTCAATTGTGGGTTTAACACCACTTCCTGGCATCATTTCAAGTAATTGGTCTCCTTCCAGCTGTTTACCCTACTTACACAACCCTTTAATTAGCACATTATAAGTGCATGCATTTGGAGAGCAGCCTTCCTCAATCATTTTCTTAAACAATGTCAAAGCAACATCAGCTTTTTCAGCTTTGCAATATCCGTCAATGAGAGCAGTGTACATTGCAACATTAACCTTTATACCCTTCTCTTTCATAGAACTAAAAATGGTGGAAGCTTCTTCAACTCTGCCTCTTTTACACAAGCCATCAACCAGAGTACAATAAGTCCACTCATCAGGAGCCAAATCGTTCTCTTCCATCAATTTAAGCAACCTAAATGCACTACCTATTTCACCCTCTTTACACTGTCCATGAATTAACAAGTTGAAAGTGACATCACTAGGAGACATTTTGCGCTCAAGCATCTTATCAAGTAGTGTCATTGCCTTATGCACCTTCTTTATCGTACAAAAGCCAGAAATCAATTCATTGTATGTACGCACATTTGGGATACAATTATTGGATTCCATCACATCAAAAACATCTAGCGCGAAATCAACCAAACCTTGCTTACAGTAGCCATCAATCAAAGCATTGTATGTCACCACATTCGGAACTAGTTTCTTTTCCAACATCACATTCAGTAACCCTCTCGCTTCGTCAAGCTTAAAGTCTTTACACAAGCCATCAATGAGCACAGTATAAGTATGAACATTCGGCTCACAGCCCTTCTCTTTCATCTCATCAAACAAACACAACGCTTCTTCCCTCCTATCCAATCCACACAACGCATCAATCAGAATCATATAGCTCCTAACATTCGGACAACAACCATCATCTCCTATTCCCAAAAACAATTCCATCGCCTCATCAATCCTCCCCCTTTCACACAACCCGTGAATCAAATTGTTGTACGAAACCACATTCCTTCCACAACCCTTCTTAGGCATTTCCTTAAACACCTTAAAAGCACTATCCACATCCTTTCTCCTACAATGCCCCAATACAAACGACGTAAACGTATGCGTATCAGGATTCAAACCAGCTTGCAAAATCTTACTCAAATAAAACTCAGCCTCAATAACATTACCCAATTTACAATAAGCATTAATCATTGTATTAAAAGTATAAATATCAGGCTTAATCATATCACTCAACATCTCATCATACACACATTTCATATCATCAATCATAACAAACCTCGATAAACACATCAACAACTTGTTATAACCCTAAACATCAACTTTAAACCTGCACCTCATCTCCCGAACAAAACCCATCACGAAAACAGCATCATCCCGGGTTTCGCAAGATTTAACATGGAAAGTCGAGTTTTTTCAGCAACCCGGAAGAGGTTATTGGAAATCAAAATGCGTAAAAGGGGTGCGTAAGATTGAGGATTGGGTTTGAATAAAGGGGTATTTCGGGTAGATAAATAATCGAAGAAGGAGATTACAATGTGGGGATTGAGATTTGGGTTTTGCGATAGGAAAGAAGAGAAATGAGAAGGGGATAACGAAGGAATAAGGGTGTTGAGAGAAGGGTGTTTTCGCCAATTTGGGTTCGAAAGGACGGAGAGGAGGTGTTGGTTAATGGAGGAAGAAGAAGAAGAAGTGATGGATTTGATGAAGAAGAGGGAAACTGAGTGAGCTGAACGCAACGCCGTTGATAGTTGCATCATTGTATGATTGGGAAATTCAACGGCAGAGATGAAGAGAACTCCATGTAACAGTACGAAAGAGAGGAGAAAATTTAGCTAAGTGTTACAGATCCATTGGAGCTGAGAAATGGAGCTCTGCTGGTTAAGTTGAAGACGACGACGACAGGTGTTTTGTTTAAATTATTTTTTGTGTACTATTTTACTTAAATAAAGGATGTATCGAAAATGTTGAAAATAAATCAGTTTTGGTCCTCTGTGTTCTTCATCAAATATTTAACGAACTTTATTAGTTAAATTTGATAAAACATGAAAAGAAAATTAAAATTACTAAAAAGTTACCTCAAATCTTAGAAATTACGACATTGAAAAACTATATAAAACATCTAAAAGTTATATTAAAAAAACTGCATCAAACTCTTAAAAAATGACCAAAATTAGTAGAAATCAGCAAAAACTATACCTTTAAATATAAATTTTTGCTAAAATTTTTTTCATAATTTCTATCGATTCATTAAATATTTAATGAAGATTAATTATTGGTGTAATTAAAAGACCAAAATAGTTTAGAGCATACTTTATGGGTTATTTTGAACCAATTCACCAACATAAGGGGCTATTTTTGTAATTTTCTCTTACTCTTTATTTCATTTTTATTCTTTAATATGTTATATTCTTCTTCTTTTTTCAATTTTTTTGTTTTCGTACTTACATTTTTTTTATTATTATTTCTAATACTAAAGTTTTCCTTTTTTTTTCTTTTTTGGCTTTCTTTATTTCTATTTTATGTCAATTAGGAATGTTAACTAATGATTATTAATATGCTTATACATTTTTACAGCTACAAATGCATAGTTTTTTCAAGAAAATTATCATCAAGATGAATATTCATGGTCATAAAGTTTATAACTAGTATTAGTGTATAATAATAGTTTGATTTGACTTTCTTAAAGAACCCATTCATATACTATTACCATTTGATCGTAAATGGAGGTATTAATATAATATCAATTTAAGATATTGGGATAACATCCATTTCTAATCAGAAGTTTTGATTTTAATTTTTGAGAAAAAAAAAAGTTATTTATATCGGACACCAAGTGAAAAAATCAAAAGAGCAATAGAATTTCAGAAACTTCAAACCGATACGAGTAACAGATATCAAATAGAAGAAAAAAAAAAAAAAAAGGCGATAAGAATTTCATAAACTTCGAACTTTTGGACAGCATCTCTTCTCTCATTTTACTATTTTCATGATCTTGGTATTAATTAAATACTCAATGTAATGATGTGTTATTTACTTTGGATCTAGTTAATGTATTGCTTAATTAATAAATTAAGTTCAGTTGATCTGTCATGTGCTAAACCTAGGACACTACGTTAAAGCAAGAACCTGATTCCAATTTGTCCTAGTCCTATAAATATACAATTCTTCAACTCAAATTACTTTATCATATAATTTTTCATTATTTGCTTAAGTTGTTTATTTTATTTTATTTTGTCTCTAAAGTTTCTTTTGGAGCATTTAATTGAAGAGAAATTATGGGTCATTTGTGGACTTTGATCACTAGTCTTCATACTCTTGCTGGGTAACATTATTATAATCTTTTATTTCCTATTTTTGTCATTCTGATTTTTTACTTTTTGGGGGAAATTCTTGAAAATGACAAGTTGTATTTTGTATTAAAATTGCAGGCCTGTGATGATGTTGATCTATCCTCTGTGAGTAGTAATATTCTTCTAAATAATTAATCTCTCATCTCCCGTTTATCCTTCGCGCTACGTTATTATCGAACCCAAATATACGTCTATTATGTGAAATACAGAAATAGTATTATGTTTTATAAGGTTCTTTACCTTCTTTTTCTCATTTTGATGTGAAATTTGCATAAGGTGTCATATGTATCTCTTTTTCACAAGTATATAGTTATAAATTTGGTAATAATTTATTTATTTATTTTTATCAATTCTATATTTATGAGAGTTTGGTGAAATAGACATGTCTATAAAGATGCAAACTATCTATATTTAAACATAAAGACCTTATGAAGCTCTATAAAGATGCAAACTATCTGCACCTGAACATAAAAGACCGTATGAAGCTTCAAAAAATGCTAGTTTTTTCGATTGCCTTGATATGTTAAGAATTTTCATATATATACAAATATTGTGTAGGTATGCATCAATAGTAGCTATAGAGAGTACATCTAAATTGGATGATGAACAATGGCTTGCTTATTGGATTCTATATTCTTTTCTTACACTTGTGGAGATGCTTTTTCAACCCATTCTTAATTGGTAACTAAGTTTCTCTCTTTTTTATTCTTTTTATTTTTGTGAAAATACAATTTTAAGAAAATAATTTACTAACTTTATTTTTAAATTATTATTTTTTTGATAATTATTAGGATACCAATATGGTATGATGTGAAGTTGATTGGTGTGGCATGGTTAGTTTTGCCCCAATTTAGAGGAGCTACTTTTATATATGAGACTTATGTTAGAGAAAAATTAATGAAGAAATATGGAGATCAAGGAAAGTCAAACAAGAAATCTGTTCACTTCATGACTCAAAAGAAGGTGAGTTAATTAAATAAGCAAAATTTGAATGTGTTCATTTTTTAATAGTTATATTAATAAAGTGTTAGTAATACACTTAGGAGTCATTTGATCGGTGGACAAGCTATTTCGAAATCAATAATAATGAAATTATAATGTTGAAATTTAAAATAACATGATTATTTAGTGGATATTACTTTTATTGTTTGATTCTAAATTATAATATAATTTCTTATTTCATCAGTCAAACTGCCTGTATTTATTTTTAAAAAGCACACAATTTTCTTAAAACTTTATAATGATTATCTTGATCTAGGGATTGAATCTTTCTTGTATGTCAAAACAAATTAAATTTTGGCTTAATCTTCATCTTTGCTCTAAACAACCCCTAAGTAGATCATTAATTTTGCAATCATATTGATTCTTATTTGACCATGTATAATTTACACAATATATTTTGTTGGTTAATTAGGAGGAGGATGAAGCTTACTGAAGGAAAATACAAGAAATGCTGACCATTACTCAATGCACAACTCTAACCGCTTTGATCAAGGCAGATTCAAGATCTAAAAATTATGAGTTAACTAAAGTTTATTATACGTACATATTCGGTGAATTTTCAACAAATATATAGAGTTTTCACCATACTTTCCATACTATTATGACCAGTGTATAACTAATTTTAGCTTTTGGATCCAGTATATCTTATAAATTATGGTAGAATTTCAAACTCGTTCATTGCTTGGGAACTTACATTTTCATGTTCTATATTACTCACACTACTTCGCTTCTGGCGAAGCCAAGAATATTTAGTTTTGCAAGGTTGTCCTTACTGATTCATATAGGATTTTACATGCCACATGCTACGTAAGTCAAAGCATAAGGTAATAATATTTTCGACTATTGAACTTTCGCCATCCAGGACGAAACATTTGTGGTGTTTCACCTAGTTGCATGACGTCTGCATTTGCTCTCCATAACCCCGTCTTCATGCCATTATACTACAATACTTTTTTTTATTCGATATCTAATATAACGTAACCTTAATTATTTCATATTTACAATCACGTAAGATCTATAAATAAATATTTAAAATCAAATCTCTAGTGTTTGCTTCATTTCTCTCTTTTTGAGGAATCTACAAATCAAATGTTGTTAATTAAGGGTACCACCGCAGACACAAAGCTCACTTTCCCCAATGATATTGTTTATGCAGCGGAAACCGTTTATGTTTTTTAATAGTGACAGAATCAAGATTTTTATTGAAATTTATATAATGATAATAATATAAACAAATGATGCTCGATTTTATTATCTAGTGTTTATCGGCTATTATATTAAACCGAAGTAATAAATGAACGAATTGTTTTCATAACTTTTGATATGATACGAGAACGTTATAATAACAAGAGCTTTTATTTCTCAAATAGACAAACAAACATATAAAAAAAAAGAATAAATAACAAATGAATAAATTAAATTGTACCCCTACAACTTTCTCAAAAATATGTATAATCTCTCATATTTACTGTGGAGGTCCTTCGAATCTAATATAATCATACATTACTCCGTTAAAAGGGCTACCACCTCTAGCTTGCGTTAAATATATTATATTTTCTCCGATTTGTAAATTATAGCCCGGAATTTCAAAAGTGAAAAGTGAGTATAGTCCATGAATTCCATGTCTTGCTATTGCATTACTTTGTCCAATTCCTGGGGTCTGAAAAGTTGGCCTTGGTATGATTGGGTTGTTTATTCTTCCCTAAAATTCAAACAAACAAAAAAACACAATAATATTAATATCCAATTATATATAATTTAACAAGAGACTAGGAGAAAAGTAAGAGATTAAGCAATTTATCGATAAGATTTAACTTGTATGTACTGACAATAAGGTATCAAAGAGGCTAAAATAAGTCCAATTAATAAATTATAAGTGTGTCCAATGATCTTATGGCTACGTAACGTTTTATACATAAAAAGTCATAAACACATTGTAACAAGATTTCTCTTGTGTCAATGCTATATATGTAGTCCAAATTAATCATAGGACAGACTAAAATGAAAAAAATGTATCATATAAATTGAGACGAGAAAGTATGTTAGAGATTAGAGAAATGGAGTTTATTAAGCTACTTACTAGCAAATGAGAAGAAGTGGCAGAAGCCAATGCTATATGTAGTGTATAAGTTCCACTTGGATCCACAGTTGAAAGATCAAATAAAATTTGCCATGTTGTTGGTATATATTGTTTATGTACAGTCCTCCTGCAATGGCAAAATCCCAAAAATGAAAATTAAAAATTGTCAATAATACGTTTTTTTTTTTTAAATGGCAGCTCGATCGGTGTACTAAGGTCTTACTATACTTATGGTTCAGAGAAACGTAGGATCACATATGCAGTTTTATCCTACATTTCTAAGAGGTTGTTTTCACAGCTCGAATTCATGAACTAAATGTCACGTGACAGTAATTTTATCAATTATTGCAAATTAATTAATTACCTGGTTACATGGGCATAGAACCAATCTTTTGTGTAATCACTAACACCAACTCTGTATACTAAATCTTCATTAGGATATAAATCTGTATAACGATCCCATAAACCATATTGTCTAAACCTGCAAATAACAAAAGATATATCAAATTGAGCAATATTTAATTAGTGTATTGATTATAAGTCTTCTTATACACTTATTATTTTACATGCAATAAGTATTCATGTACATATTTGTTACGTCGTCGATCGATAATATATATAGAAGTTGAACCCATAAAACAAAGTGAATTAGGTTTAATGAAAACTTACCTATGTGTAGTGTTGATGAATACATGGTTGGTGAGGCTAGGCAATGGATCAGGCACAAAAAATTCAGCAGCAGTTCTATCAGGAATTCCAATTTCCCATAGAGTTGGACCATTTCTTGGAGGATTATAAACTAGGTCACCTAGATTATATTCACTTCCTGCAACCACAAAATTAATAAATTTATTATTGAAAATTTTATTTTCGTGTGACATATAGGTCACAGGTTTGAACAGTGAAATATCAGGGCAGATTGTCTACAACTCCACATCAACCGGACCTTTACATGATTCGTGTGAGAATGTCAGAATGTTTTGTGTACCAGACCAGACTGCTCATTTATTATTGAGAAAAAGGAAAAGAAAAAGAAAAGAGAAAGAACCTTGAGTGATGGTAAAGTTAAGGTTGTATTTGTAATCTCCAATAACTCCAGGGACCCATGAGTACAAGTTATAAGTTCCGGGTATAACTCCATTAATCTTGAAATATCCAGACTCATCTGTTTGAGTCCAAAATTGATAACCCTAAGCAAAAAATAAAAGTTAAAAACACAACAACTTTAATCTTAACATTTATATAAAGATTACTTCATTGATCATTACATTTATGTGAACTTATTTGATCAGACATAAAATTAAAGAAAGACACACTTTTGACCTTTGTATGGCTATAAAATTGTAAAAATGAGAAATTTAAAATTAAACTATTTTTAAATATAAGTTATCGATCTTTTTTAAGAACCTAAAAAAATGTCATATAAAATGAACGTGCGCGACTTAATACCTTGGTCTCAGTTTGCCATGATCCAACATCTCCAGGCAGGGCCAATCCAACATATGCAGATTTTGCATAAAAAGGATCTTCACTTATGTACCTAACCCAAAATCACAAAATATTCGGTTTAATAAGTGAAAGAAGGGTATTTTTAAAATCGGAAAATTATTATTCAATAGATGAAAAAAGAGCAAATATAAGTCATTTTTAATACGTTAAGAGCATTATTATACCTGTCGTTGACCAATAATCGACCGCTAACTGTGGCCCGTTCATTGGCTTTGAGATATTCTTTTGATTGTGGGAAATCATATGGCCATTTTTTAGTTTCTTCAAACATCTGCAAATGAATAAAATTTCATTTTATATATATATGTTAGTTTGTATTCATCAAAGATACATAATGAAATAAATAAAAATGGTGTTCGATCAGATGATCTCACACATCAACATGTTACTAGACAAATACAGCAGAATTTTGTAACTTTAATTCATACCTTATTATATTTGTTTAAATACGTACGTATAATAAACTTTAGGACCTATAACGTTTAGATTCTAAATCCACGTTCATACATTACGACTTACGAGAGTTGAATATGATGATTAAATTACCTGTCTTTTAGCATCCTCCCAAAGTGTTTGATGGTTATTACCAGAATCTGAGTTGAGATAAAAGAAAACAGGACCAAATACTTTTTTCCATGATTCTCCATCTTGTAGATCCACTCCTAATTGTGGACCTATATAATGGCCACTAAAAAATGTCTGCAAAAAAAAAAAGTATGTATATATATTAAGAATTAAAGAAAAATGTGTCACGTAAATTGAAACACATAATACGTAAAATTACTTACAGCTAGAGAGGTGGGACCAGAATGAGAAGTAAGATCTTGTTTCATTGGTCCACCACATGTATATTCATTAGTTGGTGTAATCACCCAAAAACCTACATGTGGATTATTACAAATCCATCCATGTACTTTGATATCTTTGTTATCAGAAGAAAATTGGTACTTGTCATCAACCTAAATACATGTAAAGTTATCAACACTAATTATTAAATGTAATTATGGAGAAAATTAAATCCTTTAATTAATAATAATAATTACCTCATAGTTGAATGGAGAGTTGGATGGATGTGTTATTTGAGTAGCTTCTTTATAGCCAAGGACTTTTCCATGGGATATATCTTGATTAGTAGGCATTACCCTTTGCCTATCATCTGATACAGCCATGTAGTGGAACCTAAATAATATAGCAAATAATTCATTAATTCACCAAAATTATAACAGTTTACTTGAAATAAAAATAAATAATAGCAAATAATTCATTAATTCACCAAAATATCTACTATTTAGATACAACTCGAGGTTAAAGAGCAAGGGCGAAGCTACCAGCAACAACAGATATATAATAATCAGTTGAACATCATTAATCGAGAAATTATAGTATGCATATATATAAATGGGAAAATACATAAAAAAAAATCTGAACTTGGTCAGATAACTTACTTTAGTACTTAAACTATACAGGCGTTTAAATACCCCCTTAAGATCTTTGAAGTAATTTTTTTCCACCCTGAGACTATAACACCACTCTCACCTGCCACGTAAGCGCCACATCATAATCATGTAGGCACCATGTCATTAATCTTTATTTCTTTTTTACTTATTCACTATTTTTTCTTAAACACTTTTTAAAATTAATTATATCAATTAATTAATTTATAAATGCATACCCCCACCCCCACCCCCTCTCTTTCTTCTTCCTTGTTGTTCACCATTATTCCAACCTTCAATAGTTTCTTTTCTTCTTCTTCACTATTCAACAATTTTTTAAGTCACTTTAAAGAAGAAATTCACATTATCTTCTTCGAACCCTCCCAACGAATTTACCCTCTTGGAGAATGGATTTTTTTGAATGCCAATTTTTTCTTGACAACTCAAATAAGAAATGAAGATTGCATAAGAAAGTTGATCCAAAAAAATATAAATTTTATGAGAAATGTTTGAATGATCTAAAAATCAAAATGGGTCGCTCAAAATTTAAGAAAGTTTACATTTGCCAAATCGATACAAATAATAGAGTGAAATCGACGTCAATAAAATGACATTGCTATTGAATTTTACGGATTAGTTAAAGATTAGTGGAATGAAAATAGTGGATAGAGGTGGGGAAGAAGATGGAGGAAGAAATGTTTTAATGGAGAAAAATGTGTATTGAAAAAGACAACCAAATAAAAATAAAAAAAATTAAAGAAAATAAAAAGGGGACCCACTAATTTCATTTACCTCTTAATAAAGAAAATTTACATATTTGAAAGACTTAATATATATAAAAAAACTATTTAAATAATTTGTTATATATTGGCCAATAAAAAAAGGCCATCTGTAGGGTTTTTTAAAATTACGTTTTTTTTTTCTCTTTTTTCACGCACTTTCAGGAGAGTGCACTCATTCTCTCTGCCACATCATCCCTTAGGGGGTGTTTTAATCACTTAAAAGATGTTAAGGGGGTATATAAACAGCCGTGTAGTTTAAGTACTAAAGTAAGTTTTCGTGCCAAGTTCAGGGGGGATTTTATGTCTTTTCAATATATAAATCTTACAAGTTTTGACTGAGCTTGATTGCAATTCTTGCTTCATCTACTCTAAGTGCAGGCATTCCCTCTGAATGTTCAAATTTTCCATAGGAATAAAATCCTGAATTTCCTCTTAGCATCACAAACCTGCATTTTATAATATTGTTCATGAAAAAATTAACATATATTTATTTTAAATTACAAAACAAAAAAATAGCAACAATTTACTTACGATACTTAATTAGTTGACATTCACAAACTCACAGTATTGATATAATAATATATGGAAAATAATAGTTCTGATCTCTCAGTTATTGATAAATACAAATTTTAGTCGGAGTGATAAATGACAAAATATACATGTAACCATCAACAATTAAAATGTGTATAAATGGTTCATTTATGTAGGAAATATATTATATTTGGACAATTTTAGGAGCATATTACATTATATTACCCTTAAATATAAAGTAACAATACAAATTTAACATAACACATGAGTAATTTAACGGCATAGCTGTTAATAATTTTGAAAACTTGTGAATGTTCATATGCAAAAGTGATTAAAAGTGAACATTTCAAGTAATTGAAGGTTAAACATGCTTAATTAGATATTGCAGAAACTAAAATTAGAATTTATCAATATTTGAGCGATAAAAACTGCTATTAACCTTATATATATATATATATATGGAAAAAAAAAAACTCACCTTTTGTCGATGTTTAGAGGAAGATCATGGTCTGCACTGGAACTCCACGTTTTTGTAAAAGAAACTTCAACTTTATTATCATCTTGTGATATAACTTTGAATTTTTTCATGAAAAACCTGAAATAAATATTTTTTTTACATACATAATTAATTAATAATAAAGCACACAACATATTTATGTATGTAGTATAAAAAAGCAAAACTATATAGTTTTTCATATATTAACATAAAATTTAGAGTACTTACGTATCAAAAGTGCCACCCTGGTCTTTTGGAAGTTTCCACATGACATCCCAATATCTGCATTTGGAAAAAAAATTAAATAAAAATTATTAAATACAATTGGAATTCAAATATAATTATCCTAACTTTGTAACTTTATATTATTATCCTACCCTAAATTATACTTTATTATTGTAGTGAAAAGAATAGAAATTTTAAATAAAAGTACTTACCCTCTCCTTACTTCTAGATCGCTTTTTTCCAGTAGATTATCAATTCCATTGTAACTTATCCCAGAAATATGTCCAGTTGGATTTGTTAGAGTAAGTTGAACAATGCCATTATCTATCACCACCTAATAACAATAATAATATCATAATATATAAGTCATCACTCACATAACATTATTCGTAATTAAATAATTATAACGATGACAATATATTTAGTGTAATCCTTACGTATTGATTTGAGATGTGCAGTGTGACTGGAGGAGGATGCATCATATCAACATGTCTATGTGTGACTGGAGGGGGATGCATCATCTCATCATGTCTATGATTTACTCGGGTATGCCTATAATAATTAGACAAATAAAAAAAATCATCAACAAATATATATATATATATATATATATATATATATATTTGAATTATTTCAGTTTACATTCGTATAAACTAGTAGTATAGTAGTACCTTGCATGATGCATCGTCCTCCTCGAAGTAACAATCGAGAAAAGTTGTACTATAATTGTAAACCAAAATAAAATTCCTTTCATCATCTTTCCCATCATAAAACACTGCAAGAGAGCAACTATCAACATTAAAGACGTTAAATATATAATTAAGTAAATAAAAGTATATTAACATGTCACGCAACGGATTAGAGCAGTGAAATATTCTGAATCTAATTCAATACTCCCTTAATTAACTTTTACTTTTGTTAACTATTGAGTGGAAATTATTAACCTTTTAGGCTTAGGTAAGATAATATATAGTAGTGGAAATCAATAAGAAAACGTATTTCATCGAAACTAGAATATTAATTAAGGTATTCGCGTTGATGATTGACAAAAACGTACAATACTAAATAATATATATATATATATTAAAAAAATGACCTTGGAAAAAAAAATCAAAGTCTTAAACCAACAAGCACTTATGATATTCTGATAGGAATGTATCGTATACTATTGCGAAAATATCGTGGATTAACTAGCACACAATCACAAACAAAGAAAATAGAGAAGAAAAACAATGCAATGATTTAATGAGGTTCGGCTCCTTACAGCAAAAGCAAAGAGAGTTTTTCACTATGAGAGAAAGAAAACAAGTTTTACATCGTCAACTACATACCCTATATATAGATCCCAAGTAGTTCCAAATCTATAAGGAAAAGGTTTTATCAATCCTATAAAGATAATATATTACTTAATTTTCCAAATCCATTAAGACAAAGGTTTCCTAAACTAATAAGAATTATAGTTTCCTAAAATATACAATGGAAAAATTTAAGACATAATTAACATATACTATAGGGGTTTGATTCTGATACATTTTATAATTGTGTAATTTAAAATTTTGAGATGGCGAGGTTGGTCTTTCTCCAGAAAATAATAATTAATTAATTAAAAAATGATCTCACGAGACCAAGATTTTAAGTAAAATCCAATTTTTTTAAATCTAATAAAACTAATAATCTTCGGTAAAATCCAAATTTTTTTTGGCTAAATTAAATGGAATTCAGACCGTGCTACTACAATAACGTTAGGCAAGGAAAATTAGAAGAAAAGCATGGAAAATTAGAAGAATTTTTTTCGGAGAACTAAATACAACAGGAATTCAATTTATTTATTTATTTAGTTAAAAAAGATATATTTTTTTAATAATAATATGCATCGTTACAAGTAGGAATTCAATTTTAGTACTTTAAAGTTTAAATAAATTACAATAGAGAAGTTAAACTACAAGTCTAAAAATTATTAAATTAGTAGGAATAATGTCTTACGTTGTTTGTCAACCCCAATATCCTCAAAAATAAGTTGAGGAAATAACGGAAAAAATTGTTAAATATTTTTTCAATTCTTGTACCAAATAATTAACAAACTTTGAACCATTGGCCCATATGATTTAATAAAGAGAAAATTTCAAAAATAGCAAAGACATGATAAGGCTCTATAGCTATAATTTTGATAATTGTGCTTCATAGCAATAATTTTGTTTGTTGTGGAGACTGCAGTTTGTATATTTCTCTATTGTAATTGTATCAGCATCCCCCAATTACCTTTTATGCAATAATCCACCAACTTGAATTATTTAATCATTTGTGGGGGGTCCTTCGAGACGAATATAATCATACATGAGTCCACTCCAAGAGCTCGAACCTCTATTTTGCTTAAGAAACATAGTATTACTTCCAATAGCTAGAAGATCACTAGGTACATCTATACTATACATTCGATATAATCCATGAATTCCATGTCTTGCAATTGCGTTATCCTTGCCTATCGACCCTGTCGTAAAATGAGGTGCATGCTCTGGATTTTGATCGTTAATTCGGATCTATAACAATTGAAACGCGCAGTTAATTAATCGAAAAAAATACAATGTATACATGAGGAATATACTAGTATACAAATTAAGAAAAATGTGAAAATAATTTAGTCCATACTTGTAATTCAGCTTCATTTGTTGATGCTAATGCTAGTTGAAGAGTATAATTTGAGAAATCCTTTACTTCTTGAAGATCAAACACAATTTGCCATGTAGTTGGTATATATGTTTTGTCCCCGTCATCCCTTTTTTGGCAAAAAGAATTAGAATCAGGTACGTAGTATAATCTTACCAATGGAGTCTCTCAAAAGGAGACAAATTTTATTCCTATCTTGTGATGGTTGGGAGACTACTAATGATAGACTCTAGACTCATCAAGGAGAGATTAATAACGCAACACACAGTAACAACAACAAGATAAAAAGTGAAGTGAAAAACACAATGAGATAGTACTCAAGACCTAAGGATAAGCAACTTAAAAATAATACTAATACTCCTAGCTAGTTTGGTATGGAAAAGAAATACGCTCACCAACCTACTAAAGTTCTACAATAATACTTGACTTTCACGCCCACCTATCAATGATCATGTCCTCAGTTAATCACAGATAACTAGTGATCATAATAACTTGAATTAATTAGTAAATAGTAATACTATTAAAAACTTGTTAATTCCCGAGTGGACAGACAACCTACTACGATATATTGAATTACGTATAAAAATTATTTACGCTGTCAGTGTATACTATGTAAACAAGCTAAAAGGTAAAGGATGTTTGTGAACATACTTGTAAATATATCTATTCACATGAGCAAAGTACCAATCTGTTTGATAGTTGCTTGATCCAACAGTGTAGACCAAATCATTATTAGGATATATTTCTGTATAACGATCCCATAATCCATATTGCCTAAACCTGAAAAAATAAATACAAAAATAGTAAAGTGACTTGCGTGGTACTTAGGTAAAGTTGAGTGATTTTTTCGTTACGAAAAAATAAATATACTGCATGATGAAATTGACTTACTTTTCTTCATAATGTGCAATGTATAATTGGTTTTGGAGTTTTGGTTGTGGATTTGGGATGAAGAATTCTGCAGCAGTTCTATCTGGAATGCCTATTTCCCACAATGTTGGACCATTTCTTGGAGGGTAATACACAAGAGTGTGTAACCTAGTTCTTGATCCTGTATATTTTTACAGAGACGGATTCAGAATTTAAATTTAAGAATACGACCTTTATAATTTTACCATTGTTCCTATTACACATAGGAAGTTATGATTTACGTTTGTAATTAATTTAATATTCGTTGAAATTGTAGTGAAATTTGTATATGCATACTCTATGTTGAGTTCGATTGAACCCATAGGAGACATGTTACATTTGCATCTATATAGTAATGTTACAGAATTTAAGAAAGAAATTAATATGAATTTTTAGGACAAAGATTTGTGGCCGTGGAAATATGTTATTATGGGTAAAAATGAAAGATTAAAGTTTAAATTATTTTTTGAATATAGAAATATGTTTTTTTTCTAAAGTCGAACAGACTAATAGAGAAATACTGGCACGTTAAAGAAATATAAAATGTATCCATGCCTGGGGTTATGTTGATGTAGTCCATGTATTTGTAATCACCAATAAATCCAGGGACCCAAGCGTACAAGCTATAATTTCCAGGGATGATATTGTTAATCAAGAAATATCCCTCATTATCGGTTTGAGTCCAAAATTGATAACCCTGAAAAATAATATACAAAAATCATATACCAAAATTCGGGGTAATAAATTACCCATGATAACTTGACTCGCCCAATCTATTCAAGTTCAAACATGATAATTGAGTGTTTATTTTGACACATTCGATATAACTCATCTAAAAATTGTACCGATTTTGTGTTAAATGTGAAGTTCAAAAATAACTCATAATAAATTTTATCAAAATATTTATGTATTTTTTTTTATTTAATATGTTGTATATAGTCATAATAAATTAAAAGAAACTTTATAAGGTCTGAACATATTATACAAAAATAAAGAGATCGATCGTTTAGCCACCGTTTAGCACATTTTGACCCAACTTATCTCATCCCAATTAATATTTGGGTGAGTAAATAAACAATCAACTCATTTTGATTAGTCTAAATTCAATTTTATCCGCCCATTTAATAAACTCAATTTCAAAACACAAAGTAAACCACAAAAACACAAACCTTATTTTCAATTTGCCATGATCCAACATCTCCAGGTGCAGCCAACCCAATGAAAGTTGAATTTGGAGTGATAAGTGTTTTACTCATGTAGCTACAACAAGAAATTAGTAAGTTGTTACTAAGTGAAATAAAAATCATTCAATTTCTTATATACTGAAAAAGGCAGTTTGGTGCACCAAAGTTTCACTATACATGTTTGAGGAAGGATCGGT